ACAACCAACTCAAGACACAATACGGCGATTGATGAGGGTGGCTGCACACCGACACCGATTCCTTGTTGTTGAATATACAAACAGGACGTGTACGAGGACATGATGAAACAGTGTCACCTGTACGATATGAGCAATTATTCTTACGATCACCCACTCCATGACCAAACGAAAAAAAGTTCCTCGGAAAAATGAAAGACGAATGTGCTGGGACTCCCATCGTGGAATACATCGGATTAAGACCTAAGATGTATTCGATTAAAAAAGCCAACAACGGTGAAATAAAAAAAGCCAGAGGGGTCAAGACACACACACACAATCAAACACACCGTCTTCAAACAAGCTCTCTTCAAGAATAAAACATTCAAACATCAAATGAATGCGTTGACAAGTGATAGGCATAGGATCTACGGGATGACCCTCAATAAAATGTCGCTGTCGCCCATGGATACCAAATAATGGATCGCCATTGATGGTGTCATGACTTACGCGTACGGACACCGTAGTATTAAAGTAAAACATATCCTAGATACATAAAACAAAATATGCAGAAGATATACTACAGCCCATGAGGATATTGGAAAGGTGCAAGTGCTATCCCTAAGCTCGCCGAACCCACCAAGGTCTCCAAGGATACCGCTAAAGCTTGGTTGGAGAAACAAGCTCTATGGCAAATCTACTTGCCAGCTCCCCAATACATCCCGAGAAGAAAGTTTGATGTCTCGACACCCAATTGAGTCCATCAAGCCGACCTCCTGTTTCTCCCGCACGACAGGGTGAGACGCAAGACGTACAAGTATGCCCTGACCGTTGCCAGTCACTATAAAGAGGCTGAGCCACTCACCACGAAAGATTCGAGTCAAGTGGCCGAGGCACTGGAACGTATCTACAAATGGAGCCCTTTGACGTGGCCTACCGAATTACAAGTCGATCCCGGATGCGAGTTCATGGGCACCGTGTCACAGCTGTTATCTAAACACAAGGTCGAAGTCAGGCGCAGTACAGTGGGAGGCCATCGCAGTCAAGCCATATATAATCTTTTATTCCTCCATAGTGAAGAGTACAGAAAGAGACAATATTTATGCACTTATTTCAGGATTTCCGTGCGCATTAGAGCCAATACCACGTTTTCTTAATCAGTCAAATGCAAGAGTCACAATGAGTCACTGGAACACAGCTTTGTACATCATGGTGATGTATTTTATGCACAGAGTGGAAAACTCAATCAAGTCCTCTTTGATCAGAGGAAAGTCGGTTGTACACGACAACAAGCACTCTGTAAGTTCATTTGGGTTCATGTTGTGAAGTTTCACGCTGAATTCGATTGGCCCAACATTGATTAGGCCTGTCCACAGATTCGTCCCGAGTTGCATCTGTGTATCCACACACAACTACGGCGTGCGTGAGGGGGTCATCGTACATCATCCCACACCGATGACACAGCCCTGCTTCACATAGGTCTCTCACTGTAGCACAGGCTTTGATGACAAAGTTAGCTTGCCGTCTGAGTGATGCATCAAGCAATGACACCTTCCATGCAGGGTGGACTTCAAGCTGGCGATGTATCCGCTGGAACTTGTGAAGATCAGAGTCATCTGCCAACCGACTGTTCCATTGTGCTACATGATACTCTCTGACTGAAGTCTTCACTATTCTCCTCCACTTCGAACGCCCTAGGAAGGACCCTGATTTTAGGAATTTTTCCAAGTGACAATAGAGTAGGTACTTCTTAAGCACCCTGACTACATCAGGCACATATCCAAACGATGACGATGAGACGTTGTGCAAGTAGCCCATCAACCGGGATATGAACAGCTTGTGAGGTAGATATCTGTGGTCCATATTCAAGAGACCACCCAGGAAACACAACTTCCGCTGGTCTATAACTGCCTCTAGAGGCAACACTCCAAGGAGTCCAAGACAACTATCAGTTCGAGTGGTACGAGGCAAGTCTTGGATTGATTTAATGACGTGTCTGTATGATCTCTCCAGAATTAAGATCTCAACTTTGGAAAGGTTAGTCCACAGTTCCGACCCGTACAGGGCTTTGGGAAGAAACACAGGGTTAACAACTGTCAGGCTGATGATTGGGTTTGTAAACCGTGGGTGAAACCCACAGGCTGTCAGTGATCTCACACCGGACCGCAAGGAAATGGCAGCTAGCGTCACATGCTCTATGCTTGACATGTTTCCTGACAAGACTATCCCAACATGGCGGATTGATTCCTTCCACAGGAGAGGTTGGTCATACAACCTGACTTCAACCTGCTCCAGCTGCTGAGAGCTCGGCCGGTATGGAAAAGTGACAATTTCACTCTTGGAGGAGGACAGTACGTATCTCCAGTCGTTGCTGTATTCCTCCGAAATCCTCACCATCGATCTAAGGGCAGAGAGCCTTGATGAAATGAGTGCTACGTCATCTGCTTGAGTGGGAGAACACACGCTTAAGTCCATCACGACAGCGCCGAGATTCGACTCAGAGAGTTTCTGGAGTAGGGAGTTTATGTACAGCAGGTACAACTTCCCTGACAGCACACCACCTGGTCTGATACCCTGCATCATGGGGATAGGCCTAGAGCACATTGAGTCAAGGAAAACTCGACACATCATTCCCGTGTAAATGTCGTCAAGAACAGTCCACAAGGAGCCTTTAACTCCACACTCGAATAACTTGTATTTGAGACCACTGTGCCATACTGTATCAAAGGCCTTTGATGTATCCAGGAACACAACATGGGTATCCTCCTTCCGCTCGTGGTAATGGCGTATCGTCTCTTGCAAGTTGAAGGATGTGTGAAGGGCAGATAACTGAGATTGGTATGCCATTTGTTGTGGGTGAGGGAAGGTATCAGATTGATTTAGTCCGTCCAGTCGAGACAGGAGCACCATCTCAAACACTTTTGACAACACAGGGGAGAGTGATATGCCACGGTAAGAGTTCGGGTCTTTCTTTGATTTATTCCCACCTTTGTACAGAGGCACCAGGATGGTGACGCCTGAAAAACGATCGACGGAATGGGTGACGCGTTTCGAATGGTGTCAGCGATCATCGACGAAGTGACACGACTCATTGACAAAAACCTGTCGAGGACATTAAAATGAATCAGCCGCACCAGCATCAAAGGGTAAAAACATCGAGAAAAACCTATCGGGTCGGATCAGCGTGAGGTATTTGTAGCAGCCCGGTTAACTCGAGGGAGGGGGATCGACGTCGGGCCACGGACCCCGTATGGTCTGTGAAAACGTACTACATCAATCGGTTGGATATCAAAGAAGATGAACCTCATTTGTATTACTTGAAAGACGGACCAGGTACGGGATTCGTGCGAGAGGAATTGCTCGTCGTACCCCGCGATACGGTATTACCCCCTTATTAAATTTATTATGAAGTGGAGATTGATCGAGAAATGGTTGTTCAGTCGCATTGGGGTGGACGTCGATGGACTCGATATTTACTCAGCCCTACATCGAGTGATAAGTCGAGGTCAATTCACGACCCTGTACGATAGTTTATGTCTGTTTGGTACCGAATGGTTACAATGTCTCAAGGATAGTTTAGTCGATTATAGCCTTAAGACCAGAGAATGCACCGCCCCATACTCAACCTACTCCTTAGCCGACTTCGATGAGTTTATGACAGACCCTATCCATAAAGTCATCGCTATCCATTACTACTACATTTAAAAAAATGTACATTAACAAATATTTTTAAAAGATATATACAATAAAATATATTTGTGGGGCAATAGGGAACGGAATAAGTCAGAAATAAGGCCATTAGGGTACCCAGTATTCGTACCCCCACTACTAATATTACTTAGATTCTTAACATGAGGACCAACTGTCACCAAAAATAAATAATGTATTCATTATATGTGAACTAATGAATTGATCAAGACCAACTCCCCACAAAAATATCAGGAGATGCGCAAGCAGCCGGAATTATAATACTGTGTAAGATCCACGAGTCAAACCCACACACCATTCTTGAACTTTAAAAGTGTTGGTCAACACCGCAACATTTCATTTTAATGAAAGTGTCTTGCTAATAATTAGTCTACACTGTGAAGTTCCACGTTTTCAATACATTTTATAGCCTCCTTTGTAAAGGTCACTGTTGCTGGGTCCTTATTCTGACCCAGAATTGGCACGGGAATTTAGAATTTGAGGCATCCAAAAGTTACAAAGTGACTGTGATATGCCATGGAGTGGAAATTCAAATTGTACATGGTAATAGATAGGGATAGAAATTACAAGAGTCCCTCTGTGGCAAATTCCCCTGGAATTAGGTCTTTTTGCCGGTACTGATAAGTGGTAAAGAGGCCAAAAACCATGTCTCCCTAAGTGCCGGTCTCCTCACATGTACATGTTGTGTTGGAAAGTGGAACATTTATCGATTTTTAAAGTATGGCATATGACATATGTTTCCATGGACAAATTCAGAGAGATTACTTTGGAAACATGCTGTCAAACAAAAACATGTGATCAAAACCTTCTGTCCAAATATTAAAACGTCTCTCGTTTAAGGAATTCAATCTTATCTGTGACTTTTGGGTTGGGGCTGCTCTCATTCTGTAATCATTGCGATCCTTTTTTACGTCACGTGGCAATATGACCGCCCTTAACCGAATACTAGTATCTGTAGTTGGTTCTAGATAGCTTTTAAATAATAACATTACATTAACAGGGAGCCAACAACTCTCAAAGTACAGTAAATGTCCACTGATGAACCCATCACTGTGGAACCATGCACTCACACAACCTTTTATTACAGTGTCATGAGGCAATCATTCTCCGTGTAAAGTAGCATATTTCAAATCTTTAAAGTACACGGAATGAACTTATATCCTGTCTGTAACACACAGAGTTAAGTTACCATGTACACATAACTCTGTATCAGTGTCAGACGATCTATGATAAATATTATGTCACTATCAGACAGTGGAAGATATAGGTCGAGTCTGCGTCTACCGGTGCATACCTTAAATCAGTCGCAACTGACACCATGGCAGCAGGTTCGTGGACTGTCCTCCTTTGTACCCTGTGCATTGCGCTAACCCAGGGGCTTACAGACTTCCCCTTCAGAAACACCTCACTGTCTTGGAGCGACCGGGTGAATGATCTGGTCAGTCGGCTCTCCATAGATGAAATCCAGTATCAGATGGCAAGGGGTGGAGCGGCCAGTGATGGGACCCCTCCTATCCCCGACTTGGGTATCAAGCCATACTCTTGGAACACGGAATGTCTGAGAGGTGATGTGGGGGCAGGCAACGCTACAGGATTTCCCCAGGCACTTGGTCTTGCCGCTTCGTTTAGGTACGTCTGATGTGTTATGATCAGAAAAATAGGTAATAGCGAGATAATGTTTTATCTCAGATTGTCAACTGTTAGGATGAAAAAGGATGCAAATGCCTTTGTCATTGTTTAGTTGCTGTCCCGGACATTTCTACCCACATATTTACGTGCAAATGCAACTGTATTAATAGTTTAGTTTTGGGTCAACATTCCGTGACATATTTGACCAAATTCAGTCCGGAACATACATTAAGAGAAATGGTAGCGTGACAAAAGATTTAGATGACTGATTTTATCTGGTTTCATTCACCATAGAAAAGATAAAATTAAAGAGCTTATGTATACACAGAGAGAGAGAGAGAGAGAGAGATGTATAAATACTCTCACATTCACACACACATGAATCTCACAAGCCTCATTTATTAATGGCTGGTTCATTTAATATATAATATATAAAATGGGACAAGTTATGATAATGCTCCCTAAATGTATCGTTTCTTTATTGTTTCAGTCCTCTTTTGGTGTTCCAAATAGCGGAGGCAACTGCGGTAGAAGTCAGGGCTAAATTCAACAACTACAGTGGAAATGGCGTTTATGGAAAACACATGGGAGTAAGCTGCTTTAGTCCTGTTATCAACATTGTGAGGGACCCTAGATGGGGCAGAAATCAGGTGAGTGGTTGACGTGGAGATGTGTAAACGTTTTTCTAAAAAAGCTTCATTAAGACCATAGTCACATGTGGATACTGTTCCTTAAAAAGGATCAGTTGATAACTCGCAATCGGTGTAATTAACGAAATATTCTTGTAAAACGAGTAAGATTACTATATTATTTCTGAAATCAAACCTCAATATTTTGTCTGAAGAAATGCATTACACTCCTTTAAGTGAAATTAGAACATTGCAAATAATGTACTATTACTTCGCCAGGTAGCCAGTCCAATGAACAGATACCAATATCAGCACAGAATACACACATATGCTGAGGCGATTTTATGACTATGATTTTGTACACTGAGATAAATGTTCATCTCTACTTTATGTACTTTATCCAAGTTTTGAGAATTTACTTTGACTTATATGTTGCTATAAACGTAGAGTTTCGCAGTGAAACGTTGAATACTTGTCTAACGAAAAATGTGATTAATTGTAGCCACCTGCATGTTTCTGACAAACTAGCATCCGTTTAGGTAGATATGTAACTTTCCTTTCACGAAAACCCGATTGGTTGGAATGGTCAGTGAGGTCTTTGAGCATTGACAGTACAATAACAGACAGGATATATACATAACGGAGTTGTTAAGTAGGTGTGTGATGTCAATATGAGTCACGATATACTTTCCTAATGGACTTGTGATTTTGATATTTTCCTTTTCATTCATTTATTTATTGCAACAGGAAACGTACGGTGAAGACCCTTTCCTGACCAGTACTCTAGCAGCTAGCTTTATCAAAGGACTACAGGGCAACGACACGCGCTATGTGCGCGCAAACGCCGGATGTAAACACTTCGCAGCTTATGACGGACCAGAGAATATACCCATCAATAGGTTGAAGTTCGATGCAAAGGTAAACACGCCATCAGGTTGCATCTGACCCTGTATCACTTTCCCTCGTAGGAATCTTTAGGGGTGTAAGTGGAGACAAATGTATGCCAAATTCAAGAATCAAATTCAAGCCCCCAATTTGTCCCCAATTTAAAAAAAAAAGATATTGAGTTATGCAGCATCATATATGTATGTGTTTTAGCAGCATTTAGAAGTTGTTATAGATGAGCAAGATATTTTATGGATTAATCTTCTTTAATCTTTTCCACACAAAGTTTCGGGATCATTACAGATCCTGAACTCTGTCACCTGATGAAGGGATCTGTAATGATCCCGAAACGTTGTGTGGAAAAGATTAAAGAAAAATAATCCATATAATTATCTTGGTCATCATATATATAGTTTATTGTACACTCAGGTGAGCGAGCGTGATCTTCGAACGACCTTCCTTCCTGCATTCAGAGCTTGTGTAAAGGCTGGAACATACAGTGTCATGTGTAGCTACAACAGGTAAAATTAAGCAGGAATAACATTATCGTGCAAAGCTAGAAATAGTTAAGGACTATACAGTGGCAAGTTTAGATGAAATAAGATATGATGAAAAAGGAAACAAAATAAATACCGGCTTAAATTCGTTTTATGAAAAAAACACCCTGAACATATGAAGTTGAAACCGCTGATAGTACATAAAGAGAATAATCTTACGGCTTCTTTCAACGTATGTAAAACTGAATTACATATTCCACGTTAATCACACAGCGTTAATGGCGTGCCCACGTGTGCCAGTAAGCAGCTCTTGAACGACATTCTGCGAGGAGGTGGGGTTTCACAGGTTACGTCGTCAGCGACGAGAACGCCATCGAGAACGTTCAACGTGGTCACCACTACGCCGATAACTACGTGGACGTCGTCTCTGACTGTGTAAACGCTGGATGCAACTTAGAATTAGCAGGAACAGAGGATAACCTTGCATACTTGTCAATGGGTAATGCCATTTGACATAAATGTTCATATGATATGAGTCATACTGAGATAATTGTGCATTAAATAATGAAACATAATACTAATATAATTAATTATAATATTTCAAAAATATATAAATTAACACATTTCTGTTTGGTAGCACAAATATGACTAATTTCTTCATAAAGTAGCATCGGGCTTTTTCTACAAGTTGTGCATTATATCAAATGTTTACTTGATGTTTCATGCGCAGCAAAATCTTAATTTTGCTCTTGAATTAACTACTTCGCCCAGCTATCTCATTTTAATATTGTGCATCACATATTTAATATTTCCAGCTGATGCAATAAATCAAGGCAAGCTTACGGAGGATAAGGTCAGAGATATGGTAAAACCCTTGTTCTATACCCGAATGAGGTTGGGCGAGTTTGATCCCCCGGAACTGAACCCCTATTCTAAACTTGACCTCTCTGTCATCGAAAGCGAGGCTCACCAGATGCTTGCAATCGACGCAGCTATGAAGACATTTGTATTGTTGAAGAACGAAGGGAATGTATTACCACTGAAGAAAGACACTTTCGACAGGATTGCTGTGAGTATAACAAAAGTATAATAATATTTTGTTGATAAGTTCATGAACATTTACTGGAATCTTATTGCCAATGAGAGGATACAAATCACATATTTATCTCTTATTGCAGTAGACAGTTATTGTTGGTCGGTTATAACATGCTGTGTTCGGGCGGTAAAGTGACTACGAGAGTGTATTTAATGTATTAAGTACAAAGTTTGTTTATTATCAATGTTGACTTCATTCAAAACGACAACACAACACACTCCACTGCCCCCCACCCATGCCAATGAGTTTGGGTTTAACATAGACATTTCGAATTTCGTGTTACAGTGTAAATTTGTGGTTGTTTCAATTAAGCAATGCTGATGCACTAATACAGCATACTTCACGAGATATTACTATCAATTAATGTAATTATAGGTAACTAGTTCCTTCATATGTATCTGAAGTATTGTTCAATAAATATTCGAAGGAAAATAAAATCAGTGAAAGCGTCAGAAATTGTGTTTAAGATGTTGTTTTGTGAGGTATATCAATCGAGATATGATATGAAACCTCACATGATGCACATAATTATGTATCATCTGGCAGTAAAATAAATAATGCTATGGCGGTGTTTCATATCTGATCATCAAAAAGAGACAGGATGGATCACAATGACGCATTATATTTACAATCGCTGTGGAAAAAATGCAGTTGGCAAAAGAGGGAAAAACTTTACTCATTTTATATTCCATCTAAAAGCTTCGACTGTTACTTATGTTTTCCCAGATTGTTGGACCCATGGCCAATGACTCACATCTGTTGTCTGGAGACTATGCTCCCCTGGCATACCACACCTTTGTACAAAATCCTCTTGAAGGGCTAGGTAAACTGGCGCAGTCTGTCAACTACGCATCCGGCTGTAACGACACTTTCTGTAAACAATATGATGCCGTGTCCATCAAGAAGGCGGTCGCCATGACAGGAGTTATATTTGTGTGTCTTGGAACAGGTAATTCAGATAACCTTGAAATCCAACAAAACTAATCTTGCTGATGCACTGACCTGAACAGTTTGTCTCTCCCACCGCAAATCTCACTCGTTTACTACAATAGTTGAACATCATTTGATTTGTACATATCTACTCCTGTACGTACTTGTGTCCCATGTCCACTGGTTCGCTTGCTTACTTCAGGACGGACAATTGAATCCGAGGGCAACGATCGCTACAACATCAACCTCCCCGGCTATCAACTGCAGCTGCTTCAGAGACGTCGCTGCAAACAGTAGACATCTAATGTTTTCCTTCATGTTCCTTTTGATTAAAACTTTGTCAGATCACATGGATTCCTTGTGTTCCAATCTGCTTAAAATATGTAAAGAAATAGTTTTCTAACATAATGATACTGGCCAACTGCAAAAGTAATGTAAATTTCTTTTTGGGGCTCATTTTTTCGCACAAATGCCCAATGCATCCTCAAGACTGATAATGTTATGACTACTTTGACACCACTGACCTTCAAAGGGAAGGCAGATATTGCTACGTCAGCAGATTTCATCTCTTGTATGTATCTAAGTATGTTTAAGATGGTCCGTGTTGTGGTGTCTGCAGGAAATGGGACCCCGTAGTTCTCCCTACTGTTTAACGCCGGAGCCCTAAACGTGACCTGGGCTGATCAAAGCTCCGACATCGCCGCCATTTTGGAATGTTTCTTCCCAGCAGCAGGCAACAGGGGAGGCACTGAGACGATGTGATGGTAAACGAAGGACCAGGATCGAATCCTGCTGGTAGACTACCGGCTACATGGCCCGCCTCTGAGGATCAGGTTAGGATATATGTGATATTTGTATTTTCTTGTCTAATGACATCGAATGACGTGCAAAGAATCTTTGAGTGGCATTTTAGGTGTTGGGATGTACAATATTAAACAAAACTTTATGGATAACAACGTCTTTTATGTCGTGAGTGCGACGTTTCGATGCAGATTATGGTACCGTTGTCACGGAGGCAGGAGAAAACGAGAATATGTATCGAAACGTTGCACTCACGAAATAAAAGACGTTGTTTTCCATAAAGCTTGTTTAATATTGACATGCAAAGTTGATATATTTATGGGTGGTTTTCAACTTTCAAGATCACGACTGGCTTAAGTTTTCATTATTTTCAATGATAGTCAGATTATAATTATTTCTTATAATTATTTCGCTAGATCTTCAACATCACCGACTATTCAATGGAAGGGAAGACGTATCGCTACTTCTAAGGGCGAATACGGCTACGGGAAGACTCGTTCAGTTACGTCTTTCTGGAGACCCCAATAACAATCACAGCAGGACAAGATTTTCCTGGCTGTCAGCAACATCAGGAATATTGATGGAGCTGAGGTTCGTTTACTCCTCGAACTCATCTTCAATGCATTACCTGGTTCATAGAGCCTTACCAGTGAACTATACATGTATATTCAAATTTTGGTCCTTTCATGTTAGGTTCATAGCAACATTCCTTTGTTGGTTGGATTCGGTTGGGCCACATATAATTTAATGCTTTATATATTTAAATAACAAAACATCTACAAACCATTAGTACCATTAGTATGCATATGGTATATTTTTCAGGTGATACAAGTCTACATACAATGGATAAATGCCAACCAACCGACTCCCCAGTTACAGCTGGCCTGGTTCGACAGGTAACAATCACAGCCAATGGGAACATGAAGGTTAATTTCACCGTCTCTGCTGAAAGTATGGCGATGTGGGTTGACAACAAGGTTGGACAATTGAGGAGGGTAAGTGGTTTTATTGAGTACGTTGTCAATTTCTTTCCCAAGTGACAAATATTTTGTTCAATCTTTTTTATAAGGATCTACATTCTGCATTGTCATAAATTAGCTTAATGAACATTATGATTGTGTTGGAATGTGTCCATAGTTGCCAATGCTTCTCAATTACTAGGCCATTGGATGCCCATAGCCTCAGGATTGCCTGGTCAAGACACACGAGTATATACAGGCCTTCGTCCTATTGCTTAAATGGAGTGTTTAAAGGCATAATCAACTAATCTAACATTTCTCAACTGTCACAAATCAAGGCCAACATTGTATTCTTGAAATGTATCATGAAGCATATTCCTTTTCATTGACTCGTTGGCATTGAGACTTGTGACCCATTTGACAACTGAATGTTACCATTTAAAAGATTATATACTGATGTTCTGTAAACTGGTCAATTTGATTTGCAGGAGAGATGGTGCTTTCTGTTGGAGGTCAACAGCCAAACCAGAAGAGAGGCAGACAGGTTCCAACGTTCTTCGGAATAACTACCAGATCGTGGGATCGAAATATTTAGGACGATATTAAACTGTTTTACAGTCCTTGTACGGATATATACAACTCGAAGGATGTTTAACACTACCCAATTACTTCATGATGCTATAAATAATCAGCCTTAACAGATTAACTATGGTAATGGGGAAGAATCGGATATTTCTGTACCCATTTCTGTGGTACATGTGGTTATGAAAACCGGGAAATCTCCTCCCATAAAGAAAACATTTTATTTCAAATGCATTGACGTTTATTATATGTATCAGTAAAGAAAGATAAAGCCTGTGGCTTACTGGACAAGTAATGATACATTGTTGACTACATAAGAATCAGAAATGAATAATGATAATGTACCCATAATAGGGACATAAAAAAACTGTTTGTGGTCTTATTCGTATCCCTACGCCAAGAACAAATTCCACTTAAATACCTGGGAATACACGTGCGGCAGGCAATTAAACGACAGTTTACGATGATACACGAGTGAAACGGTGACACCATTTTTGAATTCCAGCTATATGTAGGCGTCTTGTGAATAATTCAGTTTGCATGAGACAAACTAGTGTTTGATACTGTGAGCAACGTTTAACGTAGTGATGTCACCTAGTCAACCAAGTCAGTGTGGGTGTCCATGGGGATGTGGAATTTGAAGCATTCAAAAGTTGCGATGTGGTTAAGATATGCTGAAAGTGGTAATTCGATACGATAATGCATTGTAAAATAAATTACAAGAGTCTATCTGTAACAGATGCCCCTGAAATGAGACTTATTTGTCGAAAGCAATATTACATATATAGGCCGAAAGCCAGAAAAGCATTTGCCCCATTGGTTTCTACTAAATTTTTGTTGCATTGGAAATTGGATCATTCATCGATTTTATCGACATGGTTTATGCTTCTATAGACAAATTCAGACAAAAAGAATTCTGTGAAATCATGCAGCCAGATCTGAAACGTTAGACCAAAACCTTGTGTTCAAATATCTTCTGTCTCCCCGTTTAAGGAATTTAATCTTATCTATGACTTTTCGGGACGGGGTCACCCCTCTTTCCGAGCCGTTTCTCTGAATAACAATATGCCCGTCCTTCACAGAATACTATACTTTCGGGACATGTTTCGGAACAACTTGTAAAAGAACTATACAACTGCATAGTGGGCATACGTTGAGTTATCATTGCTGTAGAGCAATACTTCTACTCACTCGAGTGAAAGTAGGCATCACTGAATACTCAAGCTTACAAGAAAAGGACAGACACCTACAACAGAACATAGAATGTTTCAAATTGTGTATTTAAATCCACTGACTTGTAATATTTCATGTTTAATCATTCTCTATGGATATTGTGTAATTTTCACTATAGGTGAAACTGTCTGTGTGTGGTGTTCAAAGTGAATTTTAAATTGTTGCTTCCATTATCAGCTGAAGCTAAATGACAGTAATTGTGCCATGCCACACAACCGGAGATGTTGCTGTTAAAAGCTGTCCTGACAACTGCCCTTTGAACAAATGATGACTCTTATTGGTAGAAGTTATTAATCCTTTCTAAACGTAATGGTCTAAACATGACTGTGTCAGACCCTGTTTGTTGTTCCCAATGAAGGGAAGAAGACTGAAAAAGGAGAGAAGTTAGGACTAAGTACAAAAACTCTGAGTGGAAATGGCCTCTCTGAGACACACATTTGAGAAAGCTGCTTCAGTAAATTTAAGTCATCAACATTGTCATTTGTCTACTATATCCGCAGAGGAGGGTACGTAAGTCCCAAAACATTCAAAGTAGATTTAAACGTGCTACCATTTTTTAATCGTAGAATATATGTGTTCGTTGAATTTGTGGCTAGATTATCTAAAATTGCTAATAGCTGAAGGGGATGGTGTAAATCCAGCTTGGGTCCATGCGAGGAAGCTTAGCAAAAGTACTGTAAGTCCCCATGGTCCCTAGTATGGTGATCTACCTTCAGTTGTTGGCAATATATAGCCTGTTTTACCTTGTATTGTCATCTATAGTTAAACTGTTTTGGAATTTATTTACTAGTTTTAAAATCTGTGATAATCTAGTTATTTTAGTGTACTTCGTTGACAGTTTTTACAATTTACCATTAAATACCTATGTATAAAATTAATTGTTCTCGTCACGATATGGCTGAAATATTGCCGATGTGACGATAAATTTCAACTCACTCACTACTATATCCGCATCGGAAGTAAACATTCTTCTGGCTGTGATAGACCAGATAATATAGCAAGCAAAGACTATGATCGATTTATAACAAGTTAAAGACTAAGTACTATATTATCCAACAGTATCCGACATGACATACATATTCCTCTTCCACAAACGGCCAACACGGACGTTTGATTCTTTAATCTCACCAACATTCGAGCGATATGACCTCAGTCTGTATATAATCAAGCCTAGACAACAATGAAGGTTATCGGGGTTATAAACATGTGGAACATAGAAACTACAATCACGATATTCATTGCTCTATTTGATATCTTAAATCATGTCCGAATCAGCTATCCTGGGAACTAACTATATAGTCTCTCACATCTTGTCCTTGACACAGTAACGCTTGATTATGCGGCATGTGGATTGTATCAGGGTCGATCTAGGATAAGATACGTTGGTGAAACGACAGCTTGTATGAATAGCCGCTGACACCATGGCAGCAGGTGCGTTGACCTTCGCTTCCTTGTATCCTCTATGTTGCTAACCCCGGGGCTGGCGGGAATTTCCCCTTCAGAAACACTTCACTGCCCTGGAGTGCTCGGAGTGGATGATGCTTAATCAGTCGTCTCTCGATAGATGAGATCCAGCGTCCAATGGCGAGGGTGGAGCGGGTACTGATGGGCACCTCTATCCGCGACTGGGTATCAAGCCATACTCTTGGAACACAGAATGCCTGAGAGGTGATGTCCGGTCAGGGAACGGCACAGAGATTCCCCCCAGGCTCTGGGTCTTGCAGCATCCTTCAGTATAGCAATATGTTCTATTCTTCGATGTTTGAACCCTTGAACGTTCAACATTCAATCCCATTAATATTTCAATGATGTGCCAGTAGACTCATACCTATAGAAACAGTTTTATCTTGTGCACTTCTATAAGAACACATTCTCTCTGAACAGACCCTAGTCCAATCATACCATCGTATCCTGACTGATATATGCATAGCTAGAACTATAATGTTTATCAATATGAACGTACATTTTGCTGTTGTACATGATTTTTGTATTGCGTCGGTGCTTAAATATGGTTAGAATCGACACTCAGGTTTATCTAAACTCTTGTTTTCTGTTCAAGTAGATTTTTATGCCTAAGTAGTTATTTGTATATGTGACACTGAAAATTAGACTATAATAACCTATTCTCATGATATGCTCAGCGTTGCCGTATGCGACAGTCCGGGCTGTCGATCGAACACATTTTATTTATTTTTACATTGGACCTGCAAAATGTGCATAATTTATGTGCCATTGGACAATGTGACCTGTTTGAAATGTTTTCATAATATGCCCAGTCGCCCATACGCTTCCATGTGACAGCAAGGATTATTATTTTAAAGAGTCTTTTAAGAAAATATATTAGCCTAAAAGTTGTTTGTGTTTATGATTGGACAGTGGGTCTTGACTATAATGTATACAGATAAATATGTTCGAATGCGGCCGAAGACTGATCAGTTTAACTCTTTATTTTTTCGCAATAAAGAAGTAATATTATTAGCTTTCAACATTGCATGTGCATTTATATACTGTGCTTTGATATATAAAACTTTAATGCCAAGGAATAACTGGTCACCAGGCATAAAAGGCAAAGAATTGGTAAAACTTTAAGTAGCACTGGGGATGATACCAAGTGGATCGTCATTGTTAATTTGTTATTATATTTTCAGTCAACAACTGATATGAATACCAACACAACGGACACAAATATGCATAATGTCTTTAAAAACACTGTATACTACGCCTCGTTATAATGCCACTGGTCAATATACAAAACCTGGTTGCTGTGTTTAATGTTGATATGAACGTGTTCACCTCCCATTAATGCCTGAAATTTCTAATTTGAAATAATGCAGCATGGATGTATGGAACAATTGTTCCTCGAAAACGACATGGACAGTTATTATTTTTGTGACAGAAATTTCAAATGATTGTGATATTAAGTAGTTTATTCTATTATTTCAGCCCATCTTTGATTTATCAAATAGCCGAGGCAACAAGTGTCGAGAGTCGAGCAAAGTATATAACTATTACAAAGCCGGGGCTTGCTCAAAATCACATGGGAGTAAGCTGCTTCAGTCCTGTCATTAACATTGTCAGGGACCCCCTGGTGGGGAAGAAATCAGGTGAGTGAGAAGATATTGGGGACACGTATTATTGTGCAGTTAATGGGTCGTACATGTAGGCGGATTCAGAAAGTTTATTTAAGTTTGTTAATGACCCTCAAGAAACGGGTGAAAATGAAGTGTGCAACCCCTCTCAGGTGTGCAAGCCCCCACCCCACCCCTCACCCTCAAAGCTGTATCCGCCGCTGTAGTGTGGAGTGTGAAGTAACGCTTCACATGGCCTCTGTATAATCTGAACTACATATTTAGAGGCAATATGTTTCAGTGACTATAACACAGTTGTGCATTGAGCGTTTCTGGTTCCTATTCTGACTACAAATGGTATCTTTACATAAATGTATTCATGGCATATTATTGGTCAGTTTAAGTGAAATAGATGCATTACATATAAAATATCGTGTTGTGTATGTTCCTTTCAACACACATTTTGATGTTGTTATACAATAGATCAATGACCTGCGAAGACTGAGCTTTGTGGTAGGAGGATGAAATTAAATGTAAAATACGATAATATCAACAGAAGCTACTGAAGAGCTTTTGCAGTTTCCTAAATTATCTGTCTCCGTTATTGCAACAACAGGAGACATACGGGGAAGACCCTTTCCAAAGCGGTGTTCTTGCAGCCAGCTTCGTCCGAGGACTGGGGGCAACGACACTCGATATGTGCGCGCCAACGCCGGATGTAAACACTTCGCGGCCTATGATGGCCCAGAATATACCAATGTTGAGATTTCAATTTGATGCCATGGTAAATATAGTTAAGTTAAAAGCCCTCAGGATCTTGTCCTTTCGGGGTTTTTCACAAGAGTTTAATCCAATGTGGACTTTTTTGAAGGCGATATATGATTTGGAAGGACCACGAAAAATCTTTAAAAGCCTGAATGAAGTTGTATATGATACTCTATATATCTAAATTCACCAAAAGTATATTTGAATGGGGTTTTTGTGCATGCAAGACTGTTTCAAATACAATATCAACATATATGAAATTACCTTTTGGTATTGTCACATCTTAACACGAATGTTCAGATGAACAATAATATTGCTTTGCCTGTGCATGTTGAACAATATTCAAACAGCTCTTGACTTTGGGTGTTCACATTTCACAACCTTTCAGGTACACATGCTCTTTTAACAATATTTCTGGTTTTCTATCAAAATTTCAAAAGAGCATCATATGACTCGTGCTCAGAAGTTGTTCGATCACGTTTACAACAACATTCAAGACCTGGGTAACGTTTTCAAACAATTTTATGCCAGATATGAAGGGCATTTCCAAATTTGAGGCTTCTGTTGCAAAATGACATCTGTTATTATTCCTTATTGTGACTTGCATCGTACGTTCCCATGTTTTGGGTTTTCAGGTGAACAATTGCATTTGCATCTGGAGGAGGATGCAGTCTCAATGTATCGTATATTTGATATCATCGATATCACTATTTGATAATTGATTCATAAAAGCTATTCATATGATATGGTCGTATCAATCGTACAATCGGATCCAGAAGAAACTGCATGTGTTAGTTCTAAGGGCCTCAGTCCTGTATGCAGCAACAATAGCATTTTAATTTCCGTGCCTCATCGTTGTCCACAGGTCAGCGAACGTGACCTTCGAACGACCTTCACTCCCTTATGCATTCAGGGCCTGTGTCAAGGCTGGAACATACAGTTTCATGTGCGGCTACAATAGGTACATACCCTTCTGATCGTGCTTGTCATATTACAAATATGTGCTCGTGTCTTGAGGCCACTGTAGTCTCTACATTTGGGCACCGGGTGTTCGTCTGTTTATTAATGTAATGAACCAAAGAAATGAACAAAGTGTCTTTTTTAACTGTTACGAGGTAAACTGCTAGCTTCTAACAACAATCATACACTTTTGTTCATCTACAGCGAACGGCGTCCCGACGTGTGCCAGTAAGCAACTTCTCACCGACATTCTCAGAGGAGAGTGGGGTTTTACAGGATACGTCGTGAGCGACGGGGGCACTATAAGGAACGTTAAATCCGGTCACCACTACGCCAACACCTCCGTGGACATCGTGTCCGACTGCGTGAACGCAGGATGCAACTTGGAACTATCTGCACATGAGAACAATCTGCAATACTATCATGTATGTAAATCCATTTCATATATACCCGTCACTAGTTATTACCTGATTAGATGATGGTGTGCAAATTATCAAATAATGCATCTAATATAGTAATATTTTATTGATGTGATTTAATTATTTACAATTATATGGAATAAGACATGATAAGCAAACAAAAAGTTATAAAATCTTTTCATAATTATAACCATTATACATCATATATTTTAAAAGCTGTTTCGTAGTTAAATGTTTGGGTGTTCTTGCAGCATCGATATCCATTAAAACATTGCCAAAATCATGATCAAAGCGTGGATCGAATTAATCCAGTGACCGCCTATGTCAAATATTTACATATCGCTGCCATATACGTACAGCTATAATATCCATATAGTACCCAATATTGAAATGTGCTTGAAAAACTCTTGAATGATGCAATTGCATCATGGTATGGAGCAACTCTAGAGACTCTAGTGACCATCAAAACGCGGCCAACTGGTGTAAAAAGCTTCATGGTGTGGAGATCGTTATGAGACTCAGTATTTTCACAAAAAGGTTAATGTATTTACAAGTCAGGATTGTAGCAAAGTCACTGTCTGGCTTTTGAAATAAAGGAGTTCTCATTACAGGGTTTCAAGTCACAATTACATATTTCATTTTGACAATGGTAATTTGTTGTATAATGCATTCATTTGATTCAAGCCGAGGCCATACAGCAAGGGGCAAGCTTACAGAGGAAACAGTCAGAAAGTCTCAAACCCTTGTTCTGCACACTCGAATGAGGTTGGGCGGTTCGATCCCAGATATGAACCCATATTCCAAACTTGACATCTCTGTGATTGAAAGCAGGGCTCCGCAGATAGCGCACGTCAGAGGCAGCCATGAAGACCTTTGTGTTGCTGAAGAACATGGGCAACATCTTGCCCTAAAGAGCGACACTTTTGACACGATTGCAGTAAGTATTACAACGTTAACATTATCATTCTTAATTTCACACGAAATATTGTAATGATGGTGGAGTCAACGTTACACACAATGAACAGAGTCTGGTATTATAGCCCGTCTGTTGGTTCTCGATTTTGTATCCCTTCGGTCCAAATTGGTTCAATTTCCTTGAACATTGAAGGTGTTAAGGAAGACATAATGTCAGCTTACGAAATAGAAATGAATCTGTGAAGTGCTGTAAGAAATCATACCTACGTCAAGCTGTAACATATTAAAATAAATGTTTTTCTTGACCATTAATGTGTTACAAACCCCCAAAAATTGCAGGGACGAATGGGGATTGGAACCTACTGCCATGATTTCAGAACACATAAATGAGCGCCATTCTGCACAGGGGTGATGCATAATAGAACGTATGGTTTCTTAAAACCTGTTGGTTTTGGGTTTTGTTGTTTGTTTGGGTTTTTGTTGTTGTTGTCTGTTTGGTTGGTTTGAAGAGGGTAATATTTTGTTTTATTGGTAGCCGGGATGGGTAATTTTGTTGTTACTGTACTTTGTTGGGTTTTTGTTTGTTTGCTTTTTGTTTCCAGAAATATCTTTATTACTTGCTTTTATGTTGTTTTGTGTTTTGTTTTGTTTTGTTATGTTTTGTTGTTGTGTTTTAGGGATGTTTTGTTTTAGGGGGTTGTTTTGTATTGTTGGGGGTTGTTTCGAAGTATCCCTTTCTCTGTTGTTAGTTTTAGATAAGTTGCACACGAACATCGTTGTCACTATGTGAAATGCTCACAATAGATGGCATGCAAAAGATTGGGAAGCATTTATGCTTTGGATTTAATGTTATGCAGGTTGTTGGATTCCATGGCCAATGATACATCTAATTTGTTTAAGGACTATGCGCCTGCGACGCCTCGATAACTTCGCCATACAAGCTGCCCTGCAAAGTCAGAGAAAAGCTGGCTAAGTCTGTCAACTACGCAGCCGGATGTAACGACAACTTCTGTAAAACGTTGCAGGCGATTGTGGCTGTGAAGAAAGCAGTCCTCGTGACAGAGATTATATTTGTGTGTCTTGGAACAGGTAATCAGGATTAAAGATCAAAGTGGTGTTTTATAATGCCCAGAGACAGAACTATGAAACCGTATTGCTTTAAATGCCTGTGATAATACCAGATGTACACACGAAATTACCGAGCGCATACTTACACGCGATCGGCGGCACTGTATCGCAAAATGAAAGAAGACCCACACCATGGCCTAAAGGCACAGTTTACCCTGACAATATAAATTGATACGTACGGCGTTCGTAATTTGAAAGTAAAGAAAAATTTGGGGCTTACCATTGTATAGAACAATCCCACATTATGTTGTTGTCGCTTTTGTAAATGTTTTTTGGTCACTATTGCGCTGAATAACCCGTAACAAATAATGGTCTTCAACAGGCCGTGCTTGTCGTAAGAGGCGACTAACAGAAATTAGATTGGTCCAGTTGGGCACATAATGCATCGCTTGGAACAAACGGATGGAACGGTTCTCATGATGTTGGCGGACGAATTGTCTGGTCCAGATTCCGGACATGGCCGATCCAGCCGCATTTATGGAATATTGCGGAGTGCCGCTTAAACGAAACATTGGATACCATGGCGTTCAGGCGCCATAGCCGAATCATGCTTCTTACAAATTTCTTATGGACTTTGGATGTTTCGCCGGTTTGTTAAACCACTTCTATGACGAACGTTTTACCCAGTATCGTGTTAATATGCTGGGGCAAGAGATTGGATCCGAGAACAACGAATAACCATGAAACAATAAACTCCCCGGATATGCAACTGCGGCTGCTTCATAGACGTCGTCGCCATATACAGTCAGTGGTGGGTTCTAGTTCTATCATTCATGCGGTATGTAGGGATAACGACGAGGGGTAACTTTATCACGGTAGTTCGTGTCGCCTGGTTTGGCAGCTGATACGTTAAATAGAATCATTCAGAGTAGTCTGTTTGTTCTCCTTATTTAGGTTCCATCCGTTGCTTAAAGACTACTTGCATATCCTATTCAAAGAATCCAAGATGAAGTGGTAGGTTTGGATGAAGAATGGTACGGATTAATATGCTGGAAAATTTTACAGAGATCGGGTGCAAAAATACTGATTTCCAACTTTGATCGACAACTGGTATTAATGGGTTAAAGGTCACGTTATCGTTAGGACGGTAAAACCAATAGAATTTTGAAGGGTTTGAAGTTTGGGAAATGAGACATTTTCCCGCATTTTTGAGTTGCGAAGCTGTAAACTTCCATAGGTCTTGTTCTCCCGAAGATAGCCAAACCTGCCAGTGCACATGATAGTGCAAATCTCCCTGAACATGCACAAATTTCCCTTATAAGCAACTTTTTGGACACAGGGGCTTCAGCAATGGTTTACCGCACTCCCACTTACTATCACATCAAAGGGAATCTGACTGCCATAAGGTATCGGGATGAGATTTTGCAACCCCTCGTTATTCCAGCCCTAAACACCATTGGTCAACAGCTATTTTGCAGGACGATAACGCTTTTGACCACCGGGAGAATTGTCATTGACTTCCTGCAACAAAACAGTATCGAACACCATGCAATGGCCGACCTATCCACCCGATCTAGCGCCCATTGAACTTTTGTGGGACGTGTTGGAGGCAACGATGTAAGGATCAATCATCCACCCCCTGTAAACGCTGCACAGTTGTTGCGATTCCTGCAGCTTAAAGAGTGGTTGGCTATTCCCCAAGACACTCCTGAGGAATCTTGTTGCATGGTGGAGACCACGAGACATTGAGAGGCAGAGGGGGACACGCCATTACTAGAGAACGCTCTAGTTCCTGTGACTTTTGCAAGTAACCCTATCACGGTAAAAGGTGCATTGTGTCCATACACTGCTTGTGTTTGATCTGAATTCATGTGATTTTGTTTCTGCAATGAATTGACCATAACCACCAATAAAATTTGGTTTTCTTCGTATCATATGTGTTTCTTTATAATAAAAAACTGAGTGTTCCTTGGATTCTTTTGAGTAGTATATAACTATTTATATGTCAGGAGTTTAATATGCCTATGTCTCTCTTTCTACAGGAAATGGGACCCTGTGGTTCTGTTACTGTTTAACGCCGGAGCCCTTAACGTGACCTGGGCTGATCAAAGCTCAGACATCGCCGCCATCCTGGAATGTTTCTTCTTCCCAGCGCAGGCAACAAGGAGGCACTGAGACGTGATGATTAACGAAGGTATCGAGTTCGAGTCCACTGGCAGGATTACCTGCTACGTGGCCCGCTTCAGAGGATCAGGCAAGTGGTGTTCATAATTTTCAAACCTATTGCCTCTTCCTCATTTAATTTCAAGAAAGCAAACATGTTCCTGTTCTTCTCAGCCTGATTTTTAGGACGTAAGGCTCGATATATATCACTTCAATTTTGACATACATGGTGTTGTATTCATTTTGGTATTATATATTTCTTCCAGATGATTAATATCACCGACTATGCAATGGAAGGAGGACGTATTACCGATACTTTATAGGGTGATCCTCTGTATCCTTATGGCTACGGGTTGTCTTACACCAAGTTCCATTATTTCTTCTTTCTGGAGAGCCCAAGAAGTGCAATCCAGGCAGGTGAAGAACCTCAACGGCATGGTCGGAATCGACAATGACAGGAACGTCGATGGCGATGAGGTTTGCTGTCACTCATATAATTTGAATCCATCAATTGTTAAGCTGGTCTCTTTGACCGGTAAGCTTCTAACAATCTAACTGCAGGGCACATAGAAGTATACACATGTTTGATGGAGATTGAAAGGAAACAAACAGGATTAGCCAAGTATTTGTCTTTTGGACCTTACTTGTGCAGTGTTTGGCAACTGTTTCACATTTGATGTTTTGATTTTGATTAAAAATGGTTTGTAGTCCTATTGTCAACTCCACTAATGAAGTGTATACATTCTTTTGTGCGTCATGGTATTATTTTCATTGTTTGCCGGATTGAAAGCATTCTTGTATACTCTTTAATTACATGTACCACTCTTCATTCAAAAAGCGGGCGGGTTGGGTAACCAAGTGGTTAAAGCGTTCGCTAATCGCGCGCCGAAGACCCGGGTTCGATCCCCCGTAGATATATATTATTGTGGAGCCATTTCTGGTGTCGGTCATCGATATTGCTGGAATATTGCCAAAAGCGGCGTAAAACCATAATTTGTTAATGCGTTTTGTATGTATCTTTTAGATGATAATATCAGTGATTAGACATAATGTTCGACTTTTAATCATTATTGCTTTCTTGCAGTACATGGTGCGCTTCATTTTTCTAGGTAATCACAAGTCTACCTACAGTGGAAAATGCCACCCAACCGACTCCAAAAGTTGCAGCTGGTGCTGGTTTTGACCGAGTTACAATTGCCAACCACTGGTAGTGTTATGGTTAATTTCACCGTCTCTGCCGAAATTATGGCGATTTGGGTGGACAACAAAGGCTGGGAGGTGAAAGAGGGTCAGTGGTTTCGAGAATATTCGATTCACCGAGAAACGAGTGAGTAAGTGAGTGTGTCAGTTCTACGCCGCTTTTAGCAATTTTCAACAATATCACGGCACCTGAAATGGGCTTCACACATTGTACCCATGTGGGAAATGGAAATCATATCTTCGGCGTGACGAGTCGACGCCTTAAATCGCTAGGGCTACACCACCGCGCCCTATGAGAAGCGAAATATCCAAAGTAATAAGAAGTAGTATTTTGTCACCAATAATTAAAGAATATCGATTTGGGGTGTTGCGGAACACTGAACGAAAGGGAAGGGTTTGTCCGCTGGTGAAGGATGCAAATCGTTTCACGGGCTGCTACCCCTTAGGCGTGGCAGGAACCAGCTGCTTATGACCATGGGCTCGACATCGAGATTCACTGTCAGGGTATGTTTCTAGCTTTGTCAGCACCATGCCATCCTAGCGACCCGTGAAGATCCAGGTTGGAATTTATCTTCAGTAACCCATGCTTGTCAAGAGGCGACTAATAACCGTATCGGGTGGTCAAGCCCGCTGACTTAGTTGACACATGTCATCGTATCCCAATTGCATAGACCAGCGCTCATGCTGTTGATCACTAGATTGTCTGGTCCAGATTCGATTATTGACAGACCGCCGCCATATAGCTGGAATATTACTGGAGTGCGGTGTTAAACAACATCAATCGAAACCAATTTAATCTGATTTTAAATACCCCCTGTCCTGTTTCAGGGGAGATGTTGCTTTTCGTCGGGGGCCAGCAGCCAAATCAGAGAAAAAGGCAGCTACCACAGATTTTATAAGCAATGACTTCGGGATTGCGGAACAAATTTCCCGGACGGTTTTAATGCTCAGTTTTGATGACTGGGTTTTGGGTGCGCCGATTCAACTAATCGGCTGTTACCGAGATGGAATGAGCAAGCAAATGCAATTCTTTGACATTTTGTTATATACCGTTCTAAAACAAGATGCCAATATTGTCAATGTTATTTTATGAATGAAAATGAATTAACGCCTCTATTCTTTGAATCTATTTTTGAATAGAACAAACTTGTTTGGTAATTGACATGCCAAGATGTTATTATAGGGCCTGTAAGTCGCGCGGTATGAGGCGCTTCTTCCGGTATTAGCTGGTTCCCTAGCGCCAACTTACGACACCTTAGAACGGCGTCCAGCTTCTTCCGGTACCACATTTCCGATGACAAGCCAATATTCAAGGAACCAGTCTGTGTTCCAAATACGCCCCTTCGTCACCTGACCATTGTGAATACACTAAGATAGTGCTTTAAAAGCACCCTTGTTTGTTTAAATGCCTGTGTTGGCGGGTTCTGTTATTCGTGTGGTAAATCTCAGTTTGCACTGCATGGTATTCTTTATGAGCATTGGCTGCAGCAATGATTCTTTCATCAAATTCAACCACGACCTATGAATGTCGGGTGAACCATATTAACCAGATTTCCTGCCAAGGAGGTGGGCGGTTTCCTTCACATGCAGTAAAAAGAAGCATTTATGGAATCGAAACAAAGTTAAAGGCACTTCTCGCGTCCCCATACAAAACCCATAACATAAAATGTTTTCAATTGGGTAAAAGCAATAAATTTATTTCGAGCTACAATGAATATATTCAATGCAATACATATGCTAGTGATGTGTACTTGTTTTGTAAAAGGATTTGCATTGTTAATACACACACGGAATATTATGCACATTTTCATTGGAACAAAGAAATCAATACCAAAGCATTAAACGGACCAATTTCGCACAAATTAATTATTACAGATTCTCTCGCCATGATGTCTAAAAAATATGATCATTATCGTACGAAAAAATATACATCTCGTTAATGTACAGTATATTTAGACTATGTAATGCTAATTTGTTTAAGCAATAATACTGTGCGGCCATGTATTGCCGTACAATTATTCAGGTGTTTCGGTTTGAGGATATATTCAGATTGTTCAATTGTTCATATATGTAGCTAAAATGCAACAACATATCGATAAATGTTAAGCTCTATACTGTATCCTATAATGTGATATGACAAAAGTTCTGGAATCATCTGTAAAACTTGACACATAACAAGCAAGGGGAATTTGTTCGCGCAGCATAGCTGATTGACATCACTTTAAATGTACCATACATATATATATAGCTCGGGATCAGAATATTTCATGTAGTGTTTCGTATCAAGCTCAGAGCCAAATAAAGTTTAAAGCATAATACATGAGATAAACATGGATAGTAATTCTTTGTGGGGCAGAAACTCATATTCTTTTAAGTGATTGGCGATTCAGGTAGTTTAGATTATTTGGAGACTGTCGGACTGACACTGAAAGAGAGAAATGTCAGTTTATTCTCAGATATTTCAATCAAAGGAGGATCAAATTCATGATGTAGTTCTCTTCTTTCCTGTTATGAACATGAACATCCCTGTTGACTTTTAGTCAATGTTCACATCTTTGCAGCTCCAGGTTTGGACATTCATGTAGATATTTTCAACGTCAACTTCTTCAGGAACTGAAACAGAATCGATTAACATGTACAGTCATCAATTGTCGCATTAAAGTAGACACTATATATACAATCAATCAATCGTTCACTCAATAAAGTTTTTGTTGTTTTATATCTTTTATTATTCATAGACACTTTTACGTGTATAGATTAATAACAGAAATTTGATAATTAATATAATGTCGACCATGTCAAATTATGCGATATCATATTCACTAATTTAGCAAACAACTGGTAGCTGAATGCGGTTTCATGATAGTAATCGCTCATATTGTTTTTGCCTGCCTTTGAAACTGTGTACGCATCTGATGGAGGTGAGGTGAAATTGGGTTTAACGTCGTGCTTGAGAATATTTCGCTCTATATGAAGACGTGCGTGCGTGTATATGTGTATGTGCAGATGCTTGTACTAGCCCAGACTGAAGCTGGTTTTATAGTGCTAGCCTGCACTGAGATACCATGCCGCAGTGAAGCACATGGTCACCCACTCAGACACATTATACTGACTGACCCGACCAGTCCTTGTTGTACCCATTAATGCCGAGCGCCAGGCAGGGACCAACAAGTACCATATTTTAACGTCTTTTGGTATGACGCGGTCGGGGATCGAACTCCGCGACCTTCCGCTCTCCCGGGCGGACGCTCTTACCACTACACCACGGAGGCGGTCGCATCTGATGGAAACCTTTTTCAAATCACCCAACATTTCGTCACGCTGGTTTGTATATTTATCTTAACATAATGTAATAATATAACCTAAGGGACTTAGATGACACTGCAGTAATCTCGATTAAATGTACTGCAGTTTTGCCACCATATATATCGAAGAATTCAAATATAAAATGGGATGCATTGATAGATTTGCTACAAAGGTCCTGACAGACTAGAAGTTTTCTTGAACCTCACCAAATCCTTTGGTTCTGGTAAATGTTTTCCTCCTGTTCCCCATCAGCATCTTCTTCTTCCTGTCGATCATCTCCTTGACAGCATCATAGATGAACACATACTGCTTCTGGAATCATGGAATATCGGTGCAATTATGACAATAGTCATATCCTTTTAAAAGGGACTCAATCTGTTTAAATGAAAAGTTTAACCCCTAATCTTCTCCTGTGGTTTGTGTTTGCATCTGAGAGAAGCAAATCTCTCACCCTTCAAAATTCCAGGTTACCAATTAAGAAGAAACAGGAATGTGGAGAACGTTCACAAACATGTACGCACCAATACTGGTCAGTAGATTTAAATCCCACACAACCTACTCATTAGAAGTCGTTCTGCTGCTTACTGTTTCAGCGTCTTGTTGATAGTGAGCTGAGTGTACTGCTCAGCGTACATTGATCTGCTTTGGCGAAAACCAATTGAAGGGCCTTAAAATAGCAAAGTTGATGTACGGGGGATAACTCTCGTTTCATGTCCGCAGACGATAAATTGTTCAGAACAAGTTGGTCACATTCATATTCAGCCGAGAGAACAGTCGAGACAAACGGTAAGGATAATATTCTAGTTTTCCACACATATAGCTGATTATTGTACTTGTAATTGCAAGAGGTTTGTTCCTGTTGGCTTGCCATAAGTTCTCGAATGCCACTGTTTATATGTTCAATACCTTGTCACGAGCAAACATAACAGGTCAGAGGCAGGTCCACTTATTTGAAAAGGATGAGTGCTCTTGATATAATGATTGATGGCGCAGTTGAATGTCAGAAATGAAGTTATTAATAATATTTTACCTCTGACTGGACCATGAATGGTCGATTGTTACGCATCTTGAGTACGTATGAGAAGATGTCGACCTCGTCGTCAATGTCGCAGTTGTCGATCACCTGGATAAAGTAGTCCACGCACAAGTACGTCCCGGTCCTTCCCACTCCAGCGCTGGAATATATGTGTGATTATTTCTTTTGCAGTATTTAACAGAAACTATTCGAATTAGGTCTTGTACATTCACCAGATGATTTGGGTGATGCACGATGCAAAGGAATTACATTTGCAAACGTAACAGGAAAAGGAAATTATTTCAGGAGTGATCATGAGTGTACTGGGGTTATTGTTGATCATCACAGTCTATTTCTGAGCCACTAATGACATTATTCTCATCATTCTCTCTACACTAACCTACAATCTCATCCAGCTCAAAGAAAACATTTCTATAAGGCATATAAGAGATATACACGTTCACCTGGCTTTGTCGTAAGTTTCTGCCCCTATGAGGGAACAATCTGGATTTCATGTTAGACTTTATAAACCATTTTTATATTTATTTTCTCATGAGTAAATTTAGTGATAATGTTACAAGATACTTCCAAATTAACCTTCCAAATGCCTGGACCTTGGTGCTATCTAAATCTAAGCCATGTATCCATTCAGGAATATCAATTCTGACCTGCAGTGGACCAACATCGGCCCCTCGTCTGTCGGCTTCAGCTCTGCACGGACGTAACGTGCGAAGTCGATGACGTCGCCTTCATTGAGGTTGGCGTTGTAGTCGTGCCACCCGGGCAAGAAGAAGTGTTTCACGTTCCGCGTTTCGTTACCCTGAAACAGTTTAAAGTTTTCTACAAGAGCTCGAACACTGAAACAATTAATAATGGCCCATATTCCTTGATCAACTCGAGTAGAATCTCTTGAACAGTTAACTGACAAAACCCAGCTCATATCAAATTAAAAGATGATATCATATACATCTGTAAAACATGAAAAGAAGTAATGAGCGTTATAATCCCGAATCATTAGTCATTTACATCGTAGTACGATACTACCCATATCTACAATATATCGAATTATGAATTCTGATCATAAAACAACAATGGAGGTTCTGCATTTTTTTTCTGCTTCGAATTATCCAGAAAGGCATACATTTCTATCAAAGGACCACCGATATAATGTGGCTAGCACGGGTAAATATGGTCCTGTGGTAACAATAATGCAGGTTCGAGGTGACGGGTAATGAGCGTTTTATTTATCACTTTACAAATTACGAGGTGAAATGGGTGAGAATGTATTTTTACAATACTGTCCCGAGTTTGGGTTGCTGGTTGGTACGAGCCTTTCATATGACACTTTTCAAGTGTTTTTACTACGAGGGTAACAAGCGATGTATGTGGTTCGAGGTTATACAATATAATCCCTAGTTCGCTGTTTTACGCCCACTGAGAGGTATTTTATCATCTTCAAAGATCTCCACTGATGGCGTAACAAGCGATGTATATAACTCTTTCCTAACTGTAAGTTAAATGTCAAATGTGTGACAAGCTGTATTTGCAATACTATTATCGGTTCGTGTTAACAGGGGTAAGAAGCGGTGTGCATAACACTGTCCCATGTTCCAAGTTGGATGGTTGGCAATACATGTTCACATTTTACCACATAGCTTTCACATAGCTTTCGGCCGTGGAAGCCGTGCCAATTTATAGAGGGGTACACAAAGTCCACAGTCCAGACTACCAGGTGTTCCGACTTCCATTTGCATGTTGCTGAGCGGGTTATTCGGTTGACTTTGTGTGCTGGCGATTAGGTGCCTGACTCTGAGGGTGTGGGTCCGAATCGCGGATGGGACTCAACCCAACAAAAGTACTAGATTCTGTACTTTACTAAGAAAGTGTAATCCCAAATATAACATATGTTACATGTCCACAAAAGCTTCCGTTTTTAAGTGGTGCTGAAGTGGATATTTGAACCTATTCAAGTTTCTAAACTACACGGGTAACAAGTGATGTGTATAACCTTCACTGTATGTTTGTGTACGTGCATGCGTGTGTACGTGTGTGTAACACGTCAGATTAGGTTCTACACTCTGTGAGTGTTGGTTCAATTTCCCAAATGGAACCCAAATTACGTACAAGAATCCGTACGTAAAGTGTAATCCCAAATACGTCATGTAATGAAACTGTTTCAACTTACCAACGAGAGCTTGAAGATCATAATGGTGTATTTGCTGAGAGGCGACATGTTGATCAGTTCAACAACCAGGTCGCCATACTGACACGGGGCGTTCATGTCTTCGGGCCAGTACATGTCCAACTTCCTCTACACAAAGGCAATATACCGAGTGCCATCATTATCTCCCTTAATGATCAATGTTAATTTGTTGTTCATGATATGCTAGCACAGATATGGCATAACATTGCCCTTCGGTGATATTATTGCAGCTGTTTGCTCTGATCATAATAACTAACACGTTCTGCTTGCCGATTTTCGTTTTACTGCAGTAGCCGACGCATTGTTATCAATATTTGTTCATCGCGTCTCAAACGTTCAAGACGTCGTTCCAGTAATAGACTGACTGGGCTGATGTCGCCAGTTAAGATGCAAACTCATATTTATTCAACAGTATCGTAATAGGAAGTAGTCTGTCCTACAAACAAATATACCCAAATTAATGTAACCCATGCACGTCTAGAATGTGTGCCAAGTCTGGATTACCACAGTTTCAGAAGAAAATGACTGGGCTCCGTTTTATTGTATTTTATTTTAATTTTAAAAACATTTTTCTGTCAAATAATTTCATTTCATCGACTAGCTGTTTGTCATGTGTTACCTTCGTTAAGTAATATGCAAAGTTTCTCGCCAGTGATAGGGACTAACAGTAATTCAGTACGAACAGAAAACCAGTAGTTCCTCGTAGCTGGTTGTAACTATGCAAGGACTAATGATAACCAAGTCTAGAGGTACACACCACTCCGTTCTCCGTCAGTCCAGTCAGCATGACTATAATGGGACCTTCTGTTCCCAGATCATCCTCCAGAAGTCCACAGTGGTTTGTGACAAGGGTCCCTGCGAGCCGATGTACTCACGGGGGGAAGTGTAGCCCTGTGAACATACGTCAGGATGAATACTATAATATTCAACATGGACTAGTCTTCTTTCCCTCTGTGGGATTGTTTGCCTATGTTTCAACTGGGAGCGATGCTTGTTAGGCAGTGTGGCAGTAGATGTGTGACTATTTGCTTTCAGGAATCCATGAATCTTTCTCATACAAAGATTAGATCCTTGCATTGACGGAATATGTACCTGATGCTACCGCTTCATATATTTTATGTCACATATTATCATTTCGGTGTCAATGTTTTATGCTTTTCGGGGCTAATTTCAACACTGCGATGTTTAAAAGTCACCGATCCTTTAAACCATCCGTGTTGTTTTAATGTGTTTCTCATCTCCAGCCTCCGCCAGTAACAGAATGAACGGGCGAAAAAATACAAATATATACCCAAAAAACTATATGTAACCTTTTTCATTGTGTAACTTATTTTATAAAAATTTTGAATATTAGATTCCACGGTAATAGTGCTGAGACTTTAAATAAGTTATGGAGAAAATCCAGTCGCTTGCTTCGGAAACATATTCTAAAAAATCTTAAAGATAGGTCAATGTACGTACAGGGATGTAGTTGGCGTTGATGTAGTCAGAACATTCATCCTCATCAAGGGGAAGCAGCTTCACCCGTGAGTGGTCATCTACAACATGAACTCTTAGATATTATTTCACCACTTTGTCATCGATAAGACACTGGCAGTAGAAACTGTGTTGTAAGTGTCAGTGCCAACAAAGTATTATAAATTATTTCTGCTGTCATGGCCTGATTTGAGCGGTTGTCAACAGCGGTGAGAGGATCATTCAAAAGGAGTTTTATAATATTTAGTTATCTTAGTTGTCTAGCCTTGTTAATAAATGTAAATCCATGGACGGCTTCATCATTAGTGAAGTGATTGGAAAAAATTCTGGCTGGCCCACTGTGACCATATCAGATCAACATAATAGCAATTCGTGGCCTTTTTGAGCTGATTGGTTTCTAATCTAGTTGCATCGATTTTTAACCACGTTCCAACACTATCCTGAACTATGACAATATTCTGTGAACTATTCTGACGCACATTATTCGAACACGTATTAACTATTGCTTTGTTTTTTTCTGGTCAGTAATATTATTACTTTGGTCCAGCTTAGTGTGAAAGGAAAACCCGAGAGATAGAGGTATTCGACGTATTTTAGACACACATAAGATATGCTGAAACCTGGAACCACAATAAGAGCGGGCAAGGATTTGAACCCATACACTTTTGCCGGCCGTTGTAACAAACTGAATACATGATCAGACACGCATTTTATCCGATATTCGAGCTACCTGCAGCTTGTAGGTATTGTATTAAGCCGCTTAGTGCACAATTTTCGTTATATCAGGGCGGTTAACTCTAGAGAAACTCTAGAAACGGGCGTGTACCCATGTGGGTAGGTAAAAATTAATAGTTTAAATGATAATTTCGAAAAAGTAATAAATGAGATTGAGATCTTGCACACGTCTCTAAGGTAAAAATTAATTGCTTAAATGATAATTTCAAAAAATAAAAAATGTGAGACTGAGGTCCTTAGACTTGTACTGTCCGCTTATCTAGACTTGCCTCTTTAAAGGATAGAATTACTATACATCCATGGGCTAAGGATTCAGTACAGTCTTGGAGCAAGGCTATCATGTTGGTATTGACGAGCAAACACTTTATACTGTAAGTTAGTCTGATATACAGACCCTGAAACAAATATATCCAAGGAAGCCCACGCAAGTCTAGAAAATGTGGCAAGTCTAGATTTCCAAAGCTTCAGAATGATGAAAATCTCGGGGATCCTTTTCACTATATTTATTTTTTTTACTATGAACTTTTTATCTGTAAAATATGTTCATTCCAGAGCCTAGTTGTTAGTTTAACTGCAGGGCATCACATCACCAACAAAACAGAATCCTGGCATGAATAAATTTATAAGGTACGTAAGAACAATTTCCGTACATTCCGGCACGTCATACGACACGCAACCCTAGCTGTTCTTGTGAGTAATTCTCAGGGTATATTATCCACGGATTGTTATTATGGAACACAATCAAATCACCAGCGATGAAGGCATTGTTAACTGGAAACACGTCTTCTTCATCGCTTAGTGGAACCGACATTGATAGTATTGTATACCTGCCGTTCAGCACAATGTGCTATGTATATTTACCAGGCAGTGTACCTTTGGTAGAAATGATGTAATTCATGTAGCATGCTGACGAGATGAAGAATAAGGAACTCGTGATACACTGAGCACCCTTTCGTCTGACAGTTATGTTCCGCTTATGATATCCACTTACACGCCATAATGTTGACGTATCGGTTCTTGGATCTGTTGCCGACCAGCACTGCATGCTCGGCCGGATGCTTCACTGTGGCAGCGGCGAGTTGCTACAACAGAACAAGACACACACGGCATGAGGATGCTATGTCAGAAACATGTACGGTATTTGCTGCTATATCTGATCTATCTATATCTGATACTAGAACAGTGACACAATTATACACATGTGGAACTGTTATTTTAACCGTGGATGTTTCTCATTTTGGAACATAAGTCACTTTCCCTTTTTATAAGTCTGCCTCAAAGGGAGACAACTGTTGAGGTAGCAGGGCCAAGTTTATGAGTAAACCTTGTAGATAGATGTTTTAGCAATCAGCAAAATTAACATGACTTGTACGACGAACATTGTACCCGAATATCACACTCGCAATGGGCACGACAATGGTGGCTCTAACCTGCCAGTCTAATATAATCACGTCACTATAACCTTTGAATAGATATTTTAAAGGTTACATTACCTTCCATTCTGAGGTAAAGAGTAGCTTTGAATCCTTGTATAAATCCTTCACAATCTCGTGGAAATCCGTGATCTTTCTAGGCCTGGTGAGAAATAACAATATATATCATACATAAAAATGACATCAACACAAGTTAAAAAAACATTCTTCGTAGAAATGATTGAAAGATGTAACAGTAACACAAGACGAACCTGTAGATTCACTCTGTATAGCAGGTGATTCATCAGCAAACAGTTGTATTGCTTATAAACGACATACATGTGCAAGGAGACAAAACTTATAATTGACAGTGCTTGAAATCAATTCTTATACATATGTCATTTACAGGTTTTATCCAAAATAACATAGATTAGATAACGTTTAAAATCGAATTGGTATTTTTGTCTATGTAGGACAGGTCACGGGATCTGGAAATTTTAAGTCGCAGTATGTATGTTTGGGAGCATGCTGCGGGGAAGGTATGTCAGAATCTTACTTCAGTATGAATATTCTCCGGTTGTACATTAATACATCCACGAGGCGAGGGTAGGTTGTCCTGCTCTTAGATGATATTGCTGTGTCTTACACAGGTACACTAAGCATCTCTCTGAAATGCCGAGCCAAGCGTTTGGCTCCGGTTCAGTCCACGCAAACTGACAGTGGCTTTTCGCCAGGGCCGATGTGGGTTTAGGGCAGGGGAGTGCGGCAGTTCTACACCTCAACCGCGGTAAGTTTGCGGTACAATTCCATCAACCACGCGGTCTTCTTATCACGCGTCAGTGGCCTTGTTACCGGAAGTGCTGACGATTGATGCCATCTGCCCTCTGAGCCAGCACATCGCCCCGATTTCGTTTGTGTATCTGTTACACAGCTGACACACCAGGGGGCGGAGTGTATATTTGGGTGTATGTTGATATCTATGTGTAGATGTGTTGGCCTCATTTTCTTGTACGGAATTAGTGGTGTACCTCTCATATTTGTTAACATACACACAAGGGTCGCTGTCTGTACGTAATGAATTTGCGGTTTAGTAATTGTTTTGGTATTCATGTGACCTTGAAACAGGTATATGAAGGTTTATTGTTATGAAAAATGCACTCAATTACAATCACACATACACACAAATACACACACACACACACACACACAATCACTCATTCATAAATCATTAATTGCATTCCTTGGTAAATGTTTCATATTGGTAACGCGGTGTTTAAACTATATATTCCAGTTAGTATGATTCATCTATATCAAGTATCTAAACTTACAGGGTCTTATCGACACTTTCCTCGACCTCATGTTGAGACTCTTCGTCGTCGTCGTCACTGTCCTCACTCTTCCTGCAACAGCAAGAGAAATTGTCCTCATGGGTATATAAGTCATTATTGCCTTTTCTCTCCTCATCTCGCTTGAGATAAGGTTCTATTTATTGCGTGTCCCAGGATCGTGTGATCATGCCCCGAATTACAACGACATGGCTGTTTAGTGCTATATTTACTTCCTATCCAAGGATCGTGTGATCATGCCCCGAATTACAACGACATGGCTGTTTAGTGTTATATTTACTTCCTATCCCAGGATCGTGTGATCATGCCCCGAATTACAACGACATGGCTGTTTAGTGTTATATTTACTTCCTATCCAAAGATCGTGTGATCATGCCCCGAATTACAACGACATGGCTGTTTAGTGTTATATTTACTTCCTATCCCAGGATCGTGTGATCATGCCCCGAATTACAACGACATGGCTGTTTAGTGTTATATTTACTTCCTATCCCAGGATCGTGTGATCATGCCCGAATTACAACGACTTTTCTGTTTAGTGTTATATTTCCTTCCTATCCAGGATCGTGTGATCATGCCCCGAATTACAACGACATGTCTGTTTAGTTTTATATTTCCTTCCTATCCAAGGATCGTGTGATCATGCCCCGAATTACAACGACATGGCTGTTTGGTGTTATATTTACTTCCTATCCCAGGATCGTGTGTTCTTGCCCCTCATTACAACGAGATGGCTGTTTAGTGTTATATTTATTTCCTATCCAAGGATCGTGTGATCATGCCCCAAATTACAACGACTTTTCTGTTTAGTGTTATATTTACTTCCTATCCCAGGACCGTGTTATCATGCCCCGAATTACAACGACATGGCTGTTTAGTGTTATGTTTACTTCCTATCCAAGGATTGTGTGATCATGCCCCGAATTACAACGACATGGCTGTTTAGTGTTATATTTACTTCCTATCCAAGGATAGTGTGATCATGCCCCGAATTACAACGACATGGCTGTTTAGTGTTATATTTACTTCCTATCCAAGGATCGTGTGATCATGCCCCGAATTACAACGACATGGCTGTTTAGTGTTATATTTACTTCCTATCCCAGGATCGTGTGATCATGCCCCGAATTACAACGACTTTTCTGTTTAGTGTTATATTTCCTTCCTATCCCAGGATCGTGTGATCATGCCCCGAATTACAACGACATGTCTGTTTAGTTTTATATTTCCTTCCTATCCAAGGATCGTGTGATCATGCCCCGAATTACAACGACATGGCTGTTTGGTGTTATATTTACTTCCTATCCCAGGATCGTGTGTTCTTGCCCCTCATTACAACGACATGGCTGTTTAGTGTTATATTTATTTCCTATCCAAGGATCGTGTGATCATGCCCCAAATTACAACGACTTTTCTGTTTAGTGTTATATTTACTTCCTATCCCAGGACCGTGTTATCATGCCCCGAATTACAACGACATGGCTGTTTAGTGTTATATTTACTTCCTATCCAAGGATTGTGTGATCATGCCCCGAATTACAACGACACGGCTGTTTAGTGTTATATTTACTTCCTATCCAAGGATAGTGTGATCATGCCCCGAATTACAACGACATGGCTGTTTAGTGTTATTTTTACTTCCTATCCAAGGATCGTGTGATCATGCCCCGAATTACAACGACTTTTCTGTTTAGTGTTCTATTTATTGCCTGTCCCAGGATCGTGTGATCATGCCCCAAATTACAACGACATGGCTATTTAGTGTTATATTTACTTCCTATCCCAGGATCGTGTGATCATGCCCCAAATTACAACGACTTTTCTGTTTAGTGTTATATTTATTTCCTATCCAAAGATTGTGTGATCATGCAACGAAATACAGCGACATGTCTGTTTAGTGTTATATTTACTTCCTATCCAAGGATCGTGTGATCATGCCCCGAATTACAACGACATGGCTGTTTAGTGTTATATTTCCTTCCTATCCAAGGATCGTGTGATCATGCCCCGAATTACAACGAGATGGCTATTTAGTGTTCTATTTATTGCGTGTCCCAGGATCGTGTGATCATGCCCCGAATTACAACGACATGGCTGTTTAGTGTTATATTTACTTCCTATCCCAGGATCGTGTGATCATGCCCCGAATTACAACGACATGCCTGTTCGGTGTTATATTTACTTCCTATCCAAGGATCGTGTGATCATGCCCCGAATTACAACGACTTTTCTGTTTAGTGTTCTATTTATTGCGTGTCCCAGGAACGTGTGATCATGCCCCGAATTACAACGACATGGCTATTTAGTGTTATATTTACTTCCTATCCCAGGATCGTGTGATAATGCCCCGAATTACAACGACTTTTCCGTTTAGTGTTATAGTTACTTCCTATCCAAGGATCGTGTGATCATGCCCCGAATTACAACGACATGGCTATTTAGTGTTATATTTCCTTCCTATCCAAGGATCGTGTTATCATGCCCCGAATTACAGCGTCATGGCTGTTTACTGTTATATTTACTTCCTATCCCAGGATCGTGTGATCATGCCCCGAATTACAACGACACGGCTGTTCGGTGTTATATTTACTTCCTATCCAAGGATCGTGTGATCATGCCCCTAATTACAACGACATGGCTGTTTAGTGTTATATTTACTTCCTATCCAAAGATTGTGTGATCATGCCCCGAATTACAGCGACATGTCTGTTTAGTGTTATATTTACTTCCTATCCCAGGATCGTGTGATCATGCCCCGAATTACAACGACACGGTTGTTCGGTGTTATATTTACTTCCTATCCAAGGATCGTGTGATCATGCCCCGAATTACAACGACTTTTCTGTTTAGTGTTGTATTTATTACGTGTCCCAGGATCGTGTGATCATGCCCCAAATTACAACGACATGGCTATTTAGTGTTATATTTCCTTCTTATCGGGATCGTGTGATCATGCCCCAAATTACAACGACTTTTCTGTTTAGTGTTATATTTACTTCCTATCCAAGGATCGTGTTATCATGCCCCGAATTACAACGACATTGCTGTTTAGTGTTATATTTACTTCCTATCCAAGGATCGTGTGATCATGCCCCGAATTACAACGACTTTTCTGTTTAGTGTTATATTTACTTCCTATCCCAGGATCGTGTCATCATGCCCCGAATTACAACGACACGGCTGTTCGGTGTTATATTTACTTCCGATCCAAGGATCGTGTGATCATGCCCCAAATTACAACGACATGGCTATTTAGTGTTATATTTACTTCCTATCCCAGGATCGTGTGATCATGCCCCGAATTACAACGACTTTTCTGTTTAGTGTTATATTTACTTCCTATCCAAGGATCGTGTTATCATGCCCCGAATTACAACGTCATGGCTGTTTAGTGTTATATTTACTTCCTATCCAAGGATCGTGTGATCATGCCCCGAATTACAACGTCATGGCTGTTTAGAATTATATTTACTTCCTATCCAAGGATCGTGTGATCATGCCCCGAATTACAACGACTTTTCCGTTTAGTGTTCTATTTATTGCGTGTCCCAGGATCGTGTGATCATGCCCCAAATTACAACGACATGGCTATTTAGTGTTATATTTCCTTCTTATCCCAGGATCGTGTGATCATGCCCCAAATTACAACGACTTTTCTGTTTAGTGTTATATTTACTTCCTATCCAAGGATCGTGTTATCATGCCCCGAATTACAACGTCATGGCTGTTTAGTGTTATATTTGCTTCCTATCCAAGGATCGTGTGATCATGCCCCGAATTACAGCGTCATGGCTGTTTACTGTTATATTTCCTTCCTATCCCAGGATCGTGTGATCATGCCCCGAATTACAACGACACGGCTGTTCGGTGTTATATTTACTTCCTATCCAAGGATCGTGTGATCATGCCCCTAATTACAACGACATGGCTGTTTAGTGTTATATTTACTTCCTATCCAAAGATTGTGTGATCATGCCCCGAATTACAGCGACATGTCTGTTTAGTGTTATATTTACTTCCTATCCCAGGATCGTGTGATCATGCCCCGAATTACAACGACACGGTTGTTCGGTGTTATATTTACTTCCTATCCAAGGATCGTGTGATCATGCCCCGAATTACAACGACTTTTCTGTTTAGTGTTGTATTTATTACGTGTCCCAGGATCGTGTGATCATGCCCCAAATTACAACGACATGGCTATTTAGTGTTATATTTCCTTCTTATCCCAGGATCGTGTGATCATGCCCCAAATTACAACGACTTTTCTGTTTAGTGTTATATTTACTTCCTATCCAAGGATCGTGTTATCATGCCCCGAATTACAACGTCATGGCTGTTTAGTGTTATATTTACTTCCTATCCAAGGATCGTGTGATCATGCCCCGAATTACAACGACATGGCTGTTTAGTGTTATATTTACTTCCTATCCAAGGATAGTGTGATCATGCCCCGAATTACAACGACATGGCTGTTTAGTGTTATATTTATTTCCTATCCCAGGATCGTGTGATCATGCCCCGAATTACAACGCCTTTTCTGTTTAGTGTTCTATTTCATGCCTGTCCCAGGATCGTGTGATCATGCCCCAAATTACCATGACATGGCTATTTAGTGTTATATTTACTTCCTATCCCAGGATCGTGTTATCATGCCCCGAATTACAACGTCATGGCTGTTTAGTGTTATATTTACTTCCTATCCCAGGATCGTGTGATCATGCCCCGAATTACAACGACACGGCTGTTCGGTGTTATATTTACTTCCGATCCAAGGATCGTGTGATCATGCCCCTAATTACAACGACATGGCTGTTTAGTGTTATATTTACTTCCTATCCAAAGATTGTGTGATCATGCCCCGAATAACAGCGACATGTCTGTTTAGTGTTATATTTACTTCCTATCCCAGGATCGTGTGATCATGCCCCGAATTACAACGACACGGTTGTTCGGTGTTATGTTACTTCCTATCAAGGATCGTGTGATCATGCCCGAATTACAACGACTTTTCTGTTTAGTGTTGTATTTATTACGTGTCCCAGGATCGTGTG